CTCACTCATAAGTGGATACTAGATATAAAGCAAAGGATAATCAGACTGCAACCCGCAGCTCCAGAGAAGCTAGGAAAACAAGGGAGACCTTAAGAGGGACGCATGGATGGCGCTGGGAAGGGGAAATATGAGATCTCCATAAGTAAACTGGGGATGGGGTGGGGAGCAATAGAGGGTAGGGCATGGGGGATAAGAACATGAGGGAACAGGATGGTGGAGCTGGGGGAGGGATGGAGTGGGAGAGCAATGAAAGAGATATCTTGATAGAGGGAGACATTGTGGGGTTAGGGAGAAACATGGTGCTAGGGAAGTTTTCAGGAATCCACAAGGATGGCCTCAGCTTAGACTACTAGCAATAGAGGAGAGGGTGCCTGAACTGGCCTTCTCCTGTAGTCAGATTGGTGACTACCCTAACTGTCATCACAGAGCCTCCATCCAGTAATTGATGGAAGCAGATGCAGAGATCCACAGCCAAGCACTAGCCGAGCTCTGAGAGTCCAGTAGAAGAGAGGGAAGAGGGGTTACATGAGCAAGGGGGATCAAGAACATGATGGAGAAGCCTACAGAGACAACTGAACCAAGCTCAAAGGACCTCACCAACTTTAGACAGACAGCTGTGAAATGTGCATGGGACCAGACTAGGCCCTCTTCATACAGGAGACAATTGTGTAGCTTGGTCTGTTTGAGGGGACCCTGGCAACAGGATCAGGATCTATCCCTCGTGCATGAGCTGGCTTTCTGGAGCTCATTACCTATGGTGGGATGCCTTGCTCGGCCTTGATGCAGAGGGGAGGGGCTTGGTCCTGTCTCAGGCTTCACTGTCTCAGGCTTCGCTGACTCCCCATGGGAGCACCCACTTTTTTGGAGGAGGGGATGGGGGGTTGGGTTGGGGGGAGAAGGCTTGGGAGGAGGGATGAGAGGGGGATCTGTGGTTGGTATATAAAATGAATAAAAAAATTCTTAAATAAAAATAATTAAAAAAAGAGCTTTGGCTGCTCTTCCAGAGGACATGGCTTCTGTTCCCAGCACCCACATCATGGCTTACAACTATCAGGTCCTATTTGTCAGAAACCTGGGACAAATGGCCAACTGTGGTCCCTATTAGCATACCAAAATGCATGTAGACCTCCAGGCTCGCTCAGTACCTGGGGCACCTCTTCTCACCAAGCCTTCTACCATAGACCTCTCCAGCCCAGGGGCTTGCTTCCCTTCCCCCAACCTCTCAGTCCTGAAACCACCCCCCCCAACATTTCGGTCATGCACTTTCTTGGCTCCTCTCTCGGTCTGCCTGCCCTCTCTTCTCTCTCTCTCTCCTCCTCTCTCTCTCTCCCCTCTTCTCTCTCTCTCCCCTCCTCTCTGTCTCTCTCTTCCTCTCCCACTCTCTCCTCCTCTCCTACTCTCTCCTCCTCTCTCTCTCTCCTCCTCTCTCACTCTCCCCTCCTCCTCCATGGCCTGGTTCAGCTTGGACTCTTCAGATCCTCTTGCTGTTCTCTCCCTCATATCTACAATAAAATCCTTCCCAACCATACCTTGGAGCGCTTAAGTCCTCATTTCATTCAACAACCATCTGTAACTGTAGATCCAGGGGATGCAACACCCTCACAGGTACCAGGGACACTTGGGAAGCACATACATACATACATACATACATACATACATACATACATACATACATACAGAAAGGCATCCATCTACATAAAATAATAAAGAGTAATTTAAAAAACAAAAATACTTAACATACATGAACTGTTTGGAAAACAGTAAATCTGTAAGAGGAGTGTTCTTCCCTCGTGGCTCTTCTTGTTGTCTGTAGGTTTGTCTGAATGAGTGGTGGATGACATCCTGCTTAAGATATCATTAAGAAAAAATCGACTGAAGACAGGCATGTGCCATTGCACACTACTTTCTAGATAGTACAGACAGACGAGGAAGGACCAGTGTCGCACGAAAGCCCCAAGCAGAGCATCTCTAATGTGAAAATCCAAAACGTGTGACTCCTTTCTTCTTAGAGTCCCGAGCACAGGTTGGCCTTAGGCGTCTGTTCCTCCTGCCTCCACCTCCCGAGTGTTGAGATTCTGGGCATGAGCCACCACTCCCACAACATTGGGCATCGAGCCCAAGGCCTCCAGCAGGTCAAGCAAGCACTGTATCAACAAAGCCCCACCCCCAGCTCTAATTTTTGAAACTTTGAACACCGACCCGATGCCACAGGGGCAAGTTCTGTGCTGTGCAGGGTAGTTTTGTGTCAACTTGACACAAGCTAAAGTCATCTGAGAGGAGGGAACCTCAACTGAGATAATGCCTCCATGAGATCAGGCAAGCCTGGAGGGCAGTTTCTTTATTTAGTGATCAATGGGGGAGGGCCCAATCCATGGTAGGTGGTGCCATCCCTGGGCTGGTGGTCCTGGGTTCTATAAGAAAGCAGGCCCAGCAAGTCACGAGGAGCAACCAGTAAGCAGCACCCTTCCATGGCCTCTCCATCAGCTCCTGCCTCCAGGTTCCTGCCATGTTTGAGTTCGTGTCCTGACTTCCTTCAGTGATGAACTACAATATGGAAGCATAAACCAAATCAACCCTTTCCTTCCCAAGTTGCTTTTGGTCATGCTGTTTCACCACAGCAATAGAAACCCTGACTAAGACATATACCATGAAACTGACATGTAAAATTATTTTAAAATATCAAATATAACTACTTTCAGGTTTTATGTATAAGGTGTGTAGGGAACATAAATTAATTTCATGTTTAGGCTTGGCTGCATCCCAACATACTCACAGATCCCCAAATTCTGAAACTCAAAACAGTTCTGGTCCCAAGCATTTTGGAAAAAGGGATTCTCAATCTACAGTCCCTTTTTAAAAAAATGATATATCTGAGTAAAACTTAAAGTAGTGGTTTTCAACCTGTGGGTCACACTCCCTTTGGGGGTCAGATGGCCCTTTCACAGGGGTCCCTTATCAGATATCCTGCATATCAGATATTTACATTACAATTAGCAACAGTAACAAAATTAGGATGAGTTCAGCAGCTGGAAATGCACTGTGAAGACACCTTTCAGGGATTTGGGACCGACTGCTAGAATTACAGCTTGTGATCAAACATAACAAACAAAACAAAAACCTGAAAGCATCTCAACCTTCTTTAAAAATATTTTTTATTTGTTCTTTGAATGTTTCATATTTTTTACAATATATTTTGTTCATAACCCCCAACACTACCTCCTTCCAACACCCCCTCGGGCCTCACCCCACCTCACTCTATCTTATATCCTTTTTTGTGTGTTAGTGTTATTAATAACCTCCTGAGTTACTTAGTGCTGCCCACATGCTCATGGGTATGTGGCCATTGACTGGAGCATGAGAAATCTACCCGTGGCCGGATCCCCAAAGGAGAGACCTCTTTCAGCAGCTGTTGACTCCATGTCACCCCTCCCTCCTCCAGGAGCAGGGTCACAGGGCCCTTCCCCGTCCATGCTGGGACTTAACACTGGCTTGATCTTGTGCAGGTCACCACTGCCATTAGTACAATAAGCATGTCGTGTCCAGAAACCAGCATTCCGCAGCTTTCCTCCCCATCTGTGGCTCTTACATCCTTTCTGCCCCTTTTTCCTCAATGTTCCCTGTTCCTTGGGTGTGGGATTTTGGTCTAGATGACTCAGCCACAGCTGAGAGCTTAGTTACGTAGACTCAGCGCACTAACAACCGTTGCCCACTACAGAAAGAAGTTTCTCTGGCTACAGTTGAGAGCAGCACCGATCTAGGATGCAAAATAAGTATTTAGAAGGTAGTTTGTCAGCAGGACCGTTTATCCAAACAACAGATTCACCCCTGGGACCGCTGCTCTCCTCGGACTCAGTCGTCTCTTGAACACTTGTCCGAACAGTGGAAGCCATCGGAGAAAAAGAGAGCGATAGTGGGATCCACTGGATTTTATTTCGCTAGAGTCTGCAGCCCAGGCTGCTCTAAGACACGCTCTTCCTGTCTCTGTGCTTTGGAGTGCTGGGGTTACAAATGTGCTCGCTGTCTAGCTGTGACCTTTCATGCTGCTATGAGAGAGGTAGACATGAAAGCGTTGTGACCTTCATCACCCTAAGCCTTAGTTCCTTCCTCTTTAAAGTACAGTGATCCCAATTGCTTTATACAAGAGTGTGTGTGAGCCGGGCGGTGGTGGCGCACACCTTTAATCCCAGCACTCAAGAGGCAGAGCCAGGCAGATCTCTGTGAGTTCGAGGCCAGCCTGGTCTACAGAGTGAGTTCCAGGACAGGCACCAAAACTACAAGGAAAAACCCTGTCTCGAAGGAAAAAGAAAAGGAAAGAAAGAAAGAAAAAGAATGTGTGTGAGAGAGAATTCAGTAAGAAAATGTGTTTAAATTTAGTGTCAGCTCAGTATTTGGCTTATACAGAGAAATTAACAATAAAATAACAAAGCTAACTTGAAAAAAAATTACTTGGTCCTAGTCTTAGTTAGGGTTTCTATTTTGTATTAAAACACCATGACCAAAAGCAATTTGGAGAGGAAGGACAAACTTAACAACTTGTCCATTATCCAGGGAAGTCAGGGCAGGAACTTAGGGCAAGAACCAGGAGGCAGGAACTGATGTAGAGATCTTGGGGGGGGGGGGGCTGTTTACTAGTGTGTTCCTCATGGCTTGCTCAGCCTGATTTATTTCTTTCTTCCTTCCTTCCTTTCTTTCTTTCTTTCTTTCTTTCTTTCTTTCTTTCTTTCTTTCTTTCTTTCTTTCTTTCTTTCTTTCTTTC